GACAGTGACGAGAATGGACTCACTGTCTCTAGTGGTGGAAATGAGTGGACTGAGCACAGCCTAGTCTTCCGGAATTCCTCAATCCTGCCTCAAGGAAGTTATTGCGTAGCCAGATAGGAAATCGAGTCAAGCGGAGAAAACCTTCATCAACCGTTGTGTCTACCAAGCCCCTCCCCACCGGATGCAACTCAATGAAAGAACTCCACTGGTGCGTTGTGTTTGGCCCTTCGGAGAACGTCGTTCGGTCTATGAATCATGAGGTCCGACGACAGCTAAAAAAGGTCATTAGTTTCGTTTGTCGCTTGCCTTGATTAAGGACTGACTTAACTGCTGTGATCGTGTTGACAGGTTTGGTATAAGCTAGTACTTCGACATCTGAGTTAATTACTCCGTAACTATGGGTTCTACGTCACTGCTTTTTTCGGATAACATCGAAACAGGTAGCTTGTGGAACTTGTTCTCTCCTGTCGAGTACTTATCTTCCAAATCACCGATACCGGTGATTACATCAGAGGCGAGCGAACATGCAGCCCTAGCGCCAAGCACATATATTTACGAGCGATTCGTAGTCTATAATCCCGAGCGATACATAATTATGTAGTTTTCTTTGAATCTGAAGCGTCGGGTGAGTAAAATTCAGGTTCTAGCGACTAAGTTCCGTTAGCGATCGGTAAGCATTTATCAACCAGTGTCAATATCTCCCGATCTAAACCGACAAGACAACGAGCTAGTTGGTCAATGGTTAGAGTTTTAAACTTCTGGTCAAAAGGTCGCAAGTTCGAGCCTCGGCTGGGACACCGCCACTGTCTGACGACGGCTAGTGAACCAGAAATGGCCATTCCAGTCTCCATTGTCTTTACCGACAATGCTGTCTGCATTGGGTATTTTCCAAAATACCCCCTGAAACCGTGTTGATAGTCGGACCGAAGGATATTGCCAGTCTGCGTCGGTCTACTGCTGGTCAAGTTCTGTTAGATTAAGTCGCTTAACTTATTATGTTTAGTTAAACTGTTGCCTTCCAAAAATGTCGTGTTACGTTGGTTTAGAGCAGTCCTATTGTCTCATTAGGTACATCAATTTTCGAATATTGTACTTGTTACGGCTGTGATCATGCGTGATCTAGCCGGCCTCAATGATGTC